CATATACTCTCTATTGAACAAAAAGCAAGTCTTAGACTTGAAGTCTAAAGAGGTCACTACATATCCTTATGCTTAATCAACTATTTAAGATTAGAAAATCACGAATGTTTCAAAATGTTTATATGATGTTAAAAACTAATTATTTCTAATAGCTCGAGAGATTAGAAAACAAGATATTGTACGATTTTTGTATGGATCGGATCCCTTAAAAATATTTGATCAGGGCTGGTCTAGATGGTGTGCTAGCCCGCCCTTCGGCACAGGGCCTCCGAATATTAGGGGCCTCCATCTAGATTTGTTAGTTAATCCGATAGTAGATTGTAGGTTGTATTTTTAGTGTACTATTAATTGATTATGAGAATGGTGATATGTTTAATTATATTAATTAATACTAGTGTTAGTTATTGATTAATAATCTCATGTATATATACACTGAACACATATATTGATGGTTAAAGTATTGTTTGTGTTTCAAAAATCCTATTTGTATTAAAAATAATACAAAATTTTTTTAATGAACTAACTATGATAACAATTGAAAATAATCTCATGGAAACTAAAAAATATAAAAATATTGTATTTCGAATAATAATATTATGATCATTTTAATTTTATTAACTTATAAAAAGATTTCAAGGGCCACATGACCCACATCTCGATTTTGGAACAGGGCCTTCACGATCCATTGGAGGGCCGTGCATTTGATACTTCATTTATATGTAAATGGCATTGTTTATTGGACTAAAATACTTCCAGCTCTTATAACCCTTTGTCCAAATTAAGCCTATATCCCAATAACTCCACTCTAAAATTCGATATGAAATTTTACAAGTTCAAATCCAATAATAATACAGCTAAATCAAGTGCCTGCTTAACAAACAATTACAAATGGAAAGAGTAGAAAGCGAACTGAAATTTGAGCATATAAATTAAACCTGGTTGGATCTAATGATAAAAAATTATTAATAAATTAAGGGGAAAGAAGGGGACGATTCTGTTTGCCGTTCATGCGTGCCTAGCTTAGCTCTCTGACAGCAACAGTGTTACAAAATTCCACTAACGAGAATCCAATTGGCCCGCCACCGCCAAAAAACACCCAGTCGACGGGAAGGCGTCTTGGTTTGGCCTGGCCAAGGAAATAGATACGGCTGAGAAACGTTTATGATATCGAAAATGAAGCTAAGGAAGCGAAGAACAAGATGATTTTACATAGTTTCCCTCACTACTGACAAGGAATGTCAAGACTAGTCAACAAGATGAGTTTAGATAATTAGGGACTAAAGAACTGGTTATGAGGCCTTGTCAGTTGCCAAAAGGAACAAGATAACGACCAAAGTTTGTTTCTTTTTTTTTTTTTATAAATATATATGGTAATGACTGGTGTATATATGTGTATAACAAAGGTTAGCATACGTTTGATGTATAATATATACCAATTCACACATATTAGATATAATTTGATATACTTCGACGAATCAAAACCACCGATTAATATATATTTTTTATTGGTGATATTATGGTTTGAGTTTATAGAATTAAGGACTAAAGAAATGTCTATGATACCTTGGCTATTGCCAAAAGGAAACATGATAACAAGCAAACAATATGTTTGTTTACTATTTTTAATCATGATACTATATCCTAACTTCTAATTGGTGAAAGTTAATTGCTCTTTATGTCCAGATCACCTAAAAGTTAATTGTTCTTCACCTTGAAAGATTCATTGTTGATAATGGAACAAAGATAAAAGGTGAACCACACAGACAACCCAAGGAGTCTACTAATCCAAAATAATTTATTAGCTTCTTCCCGAGTCAACCTTTTATCAATCCTCATTAGGCTTAATTATTGAAAACTTCAAAGGGGACCGATATTCCACCGACGTAAGAGCCATGCTTTTTACTTCATGCCTATTGAAATTTGAAGCACGTATAATGTCTAGTACTTATTTATAGTGCGATCGTGCAAGAAAGGATTTGTTGCTATGCGTATAACACTTGTATTGTTCGACAAACAACTTCATAGAACCCTCACACGACACACCAAGATCGCACAACACAATCATTGTCAGACATAGCTCAATACTCAACTTCGGTCAAGGATTTAGAAACACGATCTTGCTTCTCTCACCACTAGGTGATATATCAAAGGCAACTATAGACCCAAGTCCTTTGTGCCTCTTTAGTAATGAAGGATGCAATAAATTGTGGCCAAATGTAAATTGGTGGGTGCAGTCATAAACTAACTAACAACATGTACTGTGTATGAAATATCTGGATGCGTACTCATCAACTAAATAAGAATGCCGAGTGCCGACTATACTTCTATATTGACTTTCATCACTTAAAGGTGTGCATGTCTCTTTGCCGAGTTTGAGATGAAGATCCATGGGAGTAGAAACAGGTTGTCACTCATTGAACCTAGTTGCCAATAACAGGTCATCGACATACTTTGGCAAATGAGATTACCTTCGTAGTTCGCTCAACTTCAATGCCAAGGAAAAATGAGAGCAAACCAAGTTCCTTGAGATTGAAGGCAGTGATAACTAGGAGGTCTCTCCATGTAGACAACCTCATTGAAATCCCCATAAAGAAAGAAAATTTTCACATCAAGTTGGTATAGTGGCAAATGACGAACGTATGCTACTGCTATCAAGGTCCGAACGTTTTGCATTTTCGCAACTAGTTCAAATTCTCTTTATAATCCACTATATACTCCTAAGAAAATCCCTTTTCCACAAGTCTTGCTTTGTATATATCAATATGCCATTATGTATAAATTTGATGGTATAGACCCAGTAACTAGCAATAACTGAAACTTTGGGTGATGGACGTGAAACATTGGACCAAGTGTTGTTCTCATGCAATTTATCGTTCGAGCGCTCCCAGATGGGATCACCTTGAGATACCTCATAACGAGACAAAATAGGGATAGCATTCGCCTCATACCAATAAAACTCTGCCAAGCGAGAGGGCGCCTTACCAAAGTTACTGCAAAGAGATCTACGAACAGGCATTGCTACTGGAGGCGGCAAAGGCGAGGTACCACTTGAATATGATGATGAGAACGACACTTTTGGCGGATGACGAGGGACAAGTATCATATATGAGTATTGAAGGGGAGGAGGATTGTGGAATTACTCATTGTCAACATCATCTTTATTATCATGAAATGACTTGACGGGGTGACGTAGAAGTAAAATGGAGTTGCGACTCGGATGAAGGAGGGTAAAACATAGAGAAATGAAAACGAAAAAAGTTCGCGATCGAAACACATATATACTTAGGAATATCACTATAACCTAAGAAAACACAACATATAGTTTTAGACAAAAGTGTGGTATGTTACTTGCAAGAAAGAAGAACAAAGCACGTACTACCAAACACATGAGGACTCTTGTAGTCTGGATGACGAATGAATAGGGAAAAAGGACTGAGTTGGACGAGGATTGGAGTAATATGGTTGTTAATGAGACGAATAGTGATACTTATTGCTTCTGACCGAAAATGATGGGGTACATGAGAGGCGACTAATAGTGCTCTGGTGAGTTCTAAGACATGACGATTCTTCATTTTTACAATATCATTTTCCTGAGGGAATCCAGGAAGACTTGATCTGCTTTGTAGTAGTGGTTAAAATTTACATGGCCCTAAGGCCATGATAGTATTTCCCTAAGGTCTCTCAAAACCACTTACCCAGGTAGTGAGGAACAAGTTATGTGAGCGAATGTGCAGGTTGAGGTGCCTCTGAGGTTTAGTTCCCCTTGGTTTTACAAATCTAAAGTAAATTTCGATGTAGAAAAGGAAACATATAGCTAATGGAGAGTGTAGAAAGCAGAAGAGATAGACGTTGCATAAGCAAAACTACCCCTAGAGTTCCGTGACTCGTACCTCGATCTTGGCAACATATGAGCAATTGATCTTTTATGTAAATGATCCTAACTTGTGTCGAGGCTTCTTGCCGTGGTCCAGTAGGGAACACGGACCCTATGGAAGTGTCATTTGAGTTGTCACACCTAACACTACAAGGAGTGCATCAATATGATAAAAGCAAAGGATATTCCTACTAGATTGCACTTTGACGGATCAAGAAGCAAATTCAAGATATTATGACTATTGTGAGAAGTCGGACTCAGGTCTCTCTACTTAGTCGATGAGAGCTATAATGGTATGATTTTTAATTTAGAGGCTTACGTAGTGGAATGAGAAATAAAAAATGTAAAAAGGAAGAAGACAAATATTTACGTGGTTCACTAACACAATGTGTGTTAGCTAATCAACGGTAGGAGAGACCAGTTTCACTAAACTTGAGGAGATGCAGATTACAGAGATTGAGAAGGCATGTATACCCTTTCTCCATGCAGGGTCTTGCTCCTAGACCCCGACTTGATGACCGAGCAACGAGACCCCCATGATTTCCAGTCGATGGCAGATGATTTGTCTTCAAATCATGGCAACAGAGCATATTATAGGTATTTTCGTGGCGTGAAAGATGCATGAGTCAATCTAATTTTTCATGACATTAATCTTTGGTAAACGTTGAAAGGTAGCTTGAATACTAACCAACACTTTGTCTTCTATTGTGATTCTCCGGTTCGGTAATTTAGCAGTTGTTACTTAAATTTCAGAAGAATCACTTCTTTGAATTTTGATTAAATAGTATTTCGAAGCAGAGAGTAACAATTTAGCTAAAGATACTTGATGAATACGACCTTGAACTATGTTGTTTAACCAGAGTGCACTACTTGTCTTAACTTAAACGCGTAGTAAAGTAAGAAAGCCATCGAGTTAACATAACTTGAACTCGATCCAAAAAGCGACTCAGGTAGTTCGTAGTTCGGAGTTCGGATTATATTACCTTCGAAAAGATGCCACCTCATACTTCCCTTCATCTATCGCACTCCCCCTCTCTTTCCTTGGACCATCCTTATAATACAATTTTCTCATTTTTATTATTAGCCCGTATACACACAATATACGTTATTGGCATCATCTGCAGTACTGAATCCCCATTCTGACCCTCATCCCTATCTCCCCTTCCCTCTGTCTATATATACACACACAGTTACCAATGTGGCTGAGCCTCGCCGTCGAAGATGACCAACGAGAGGAATATTTAATCCCTAGTATATATATATCCAGAAGTCCTACAGATCATTTTGAGATTAACGGCCGAGGTGTAACAAACACAAAAAAAAATGGCGGTCAAAGATCCCCCTCACTCATCGTACTGTACAACCCCACAGTCGGAGAAGCTTCAGCAGGATGGCAGCCCGCCGGCGGCGGCCAATAACAGTAACAACAGCTTGATGGTTGCTCCGCCGGCGGTGATGACCCCTAAGCTGCCGGAAAAATCGACTAAGAAACAGCCCGGCGGATGGAGAGCCATGCCTTACGTTTTAGGTAACAATTCCCGTGAAAATGGTCCCTAGCTCGTCGACCATATTATATATATTATTATTTTTTCTGTTGAAGAAGTTGGGAATTGAGCTAAGCGCTCGTCACCTTGATTGCGGGAAAGTGATTTTTTTTTTCTTTTCATGGAGATCTGATTGCACATGTCATCAAACAAACATCTCTTTTTTTTTTTGGAGTTTATCAGGAAATGAGACGTGCGAGAGGTTGGCGACGTTTGGATTGTTCGCAAACTTCATGGTGTATCTGACGAAAGAGTATCACATGGAGCAGGCCAAAGCTGCACAGCTTCTCAACGTCTGGTCCGGCTTCACTAACTTCCTGCCGCTCATCGGCGCCTTCGTCTGCGACGCCTACGTCGGCCGCTTCAAAACCATTGCTTTCTCCGTCTTCGCCGAACTTCTGGTACGTACGTGTGAGAGGTTCGATTTTTTTCGTATGGCTAATCAAATACCTAATTACTTGTTATGCACATATAGTTCGCGAACTGAAACGCAGTGGAGATTAGTCAAATGAGGTAAGGAAGTGGTCTTTTTCGGGCCAATTAAACAGGTTGTGTGCAAATGGGAAGAAAGGGGAGGGAAAATGGAACATGCATATGGTTGCGTCCTTTGATCTTTAGGGGAAGTTATTTCCTTGGCCGGGAAATCATCCAAAAACACCGCCGATGGTCTTGTTTTCCCGCAAAAAGTAATACTATCATTCCTAATTAACATACGCTAACTCAAATCATGATTTTTAAAATAGCAGTCACTTTCGTATTAAAAATGATCGAAAATGTAGTATGTAATACGTCAAAAACGCGATTAATGAAAAACCCATCTTCACCTTATATGATATAATATATGTCAACAACGCGTATATTTGATTCAGTTCTTGAAATAGCGTAATTTAAAAAAAAAAAACAAATACTTAAAATATGAACCACACACTATCACCATTATTTTATTTGTGGAGCGTCCCAAAAATCATATCGATGGATTATTCCTCGGTATATAGATGGATTGGAGAATCCCCGGCCAAGTTCCACTGGCATGAATTGGTAGTCTATTTCAATTTTTGTTTCGTTGAATGATCCCTTTCTTCCTTTAATGTCACTAAAATATCTAACATTGTTTTCACATAAGAAGACGAAAAAGCTCTCGCACTCTTCACTCTTTCAGTCAGCTGTCCACAGAGCCACTTACGGTTTGGATGGTAGATAGCCAGCCAGCCAACCAACCAATTGTGTTTAATAGCTGGAAAACGATGAATACTTTCTGGAAATTAAATGTCGACAGCCTTAGCTCTAGCTCTGTGTAAATTCATCAATTCCACCCCCACCACTTCCATTCCCAGACAAAAAATATCAAACCAGTAACATTTCCCCAGTTATTGGTCGGTTTCTCCTTACTGTTATTATTAATCAATGGAGATCATTAATTAATTTGTAGTCATATATCAATTGAAGTGAAAATATCACGATTCACAGATAAATACAATTTATTAGTCACGATCACGATTAGGGGTGGCAGTTCGGTTACCGGTTAAACCGATAATCGACCGGTTATCCACTAATCGGTAACCGAAGTAACCGATCTTCGGTCGGTTATCGGAGGCTGGACGAAATAGTTTTTTGTCTTAAAAGTGGTTCGGTTAACCAATAATCGAGATAACCGAGAAACCGAAACCCATTTCGAATGATTTTCGATAAGAAGAGTGGTTATTTCGATTAACTGATAATCGACCGATCGGTTACTGATTATAACCGAAATAACTTAACTGCCACCCCTAAATTCACGATTGATCATTCATCAGAAACTCCAATTATTAGCGACGAGATGAAACATGTCACTAACAACTCTCTTTCCTTGCCCTATTAATTTTTTTTTTAATCTCACCAGGGGATGGTAACAATCACACTGACAGCGTGGCTGCCGCACCTCCGCCCACCCAAATGCGACGCCGTCTCCCCATCCTCCACGTCGGCTGCCTGCGCGGGGCCCACCTCGAGCCAGCTGGGCGTCCTGCTGGCGGGCCTCTGCCTGCTTTCCGTCGGGGCGGGCGGGATCCGACCCTGCAGCATCCCGTTCGGGGTGGACCAGTTCGACGGTCGGACCGAAGCCGGGGTCAAAGGGATCAACAGCTTCTTCAACTGGTACTACACCACCTTCACCGTCGTCATCCTCCTGGCGCTCACCGTCATCGTCTACATCCAGGATTCGATCAGCTGGGCGCTCGGCTTCGGGATTCCGACGGCGTTCATGTTCGGCTCCATCTTCTTGTTCTTCATGGGCACCAGGATCTACGTCCACGTCATGCCTGAAGGCAGCGTCTTCTCCGGGATCGTCCACGTCTGCTCCGCCGCATACAAGAAGCGCAACCTTAAGCTTCCCGACGCCGCCGCAGACGGTGCACGGTTCTATGACCCGCCGGCTAAGGACTTCGTCATAAACAAGCTCCCCCTCACCAGTCAGTTCAGGTGAGGTTTTTTCTTTCTCATTTTTCTTCCAAAAGGTTATTTACTATAGGAAAAAGGGTTGTTGTCCATATTTAGAGAATTAGAGTACTCATAACACTTAACTTAAGTCGTTTTATAGATATCCATGCAATTTGGTGCTTATTCACGAAATATTTTTTATCACAAATTAAACCTCAATTTGCATTTTCAATTTTTTCGTAAAAAATGAGTTGCATTTACTGTAATATATTTTGATATATTTCAAAATTTCAAAAATAAATTTTAGAATGATAGATGTGAATAAATTACAACATATGTGAATCAAATACAAATTAGGGGAAGTTATTTCCCCTAATATTGTGAAGTTTATTCACGTCATTCACATATGTTGTAATTTTCTAACATTGTGAAGTTTATTCACGTCATTCTTTAATTATTTATACGATTCGATGCTTATTTAGACAAGAGTTGTGGTTATTTACTTATATTAAACATTAATAGTTTTTCCATAATAATTTATATATTAGCTAAGCATAATTTTTATTTCCATTTTTTTCCAAAATGAGTTGCATCGTAATCTATACAATATCATTTATTTTGATATATTCCAAATTAAAAAAAAAAAATTAGAATGATGTGAATAAAGAACAGTGAATCAATAATTGTGTGAAATAAAATTTGCTTATCAGGCTTTTATAAGTATTACACTATAATGCAAAGAAGTGATTGCACAAATATGAGTAGATGGTTGAATATATCGTGTGAATAACCATCATTATTGCGTAACTAAACATCAATGTGACGTGAATAATCCCTCACAAAATTATGTGAATTAGATATTGGAACGTGAGAAACGTTGAACGGATTAGTTTTTTTTTGAAGATTGTTAATAATTAATCTAATTTTCTCCCTCCAGCTTCTTAAACAAGGCGGCAATCATAGAGCAAGAACACGTGGAGCTGAACCAGCAAGGCCAGCCGTCGGACCCGTGGAGCCTAGTCAGCATCCAAGAAGTGGAAGAAGTCAAATGCCTGCTCAAAATCATCCCCGTCTGGTCGGCCGGAATCATAAGCCTGACGGCGATCTCCCAACAGGGTACCTTCACGGTCTCCCAGGCACAAATCATGGACCGCCACCTGGGCCCCAAGTTCCAGATCCCGCCCGGTTCCATGTTCGTCATCTCCCTCCTCGTCATCGGCGCGTGGCTCCCCTTCTACGACCGCGTCTTCGTCCCGGCCATGACCAGGGTCACCAAGATCGAGGGAGGGATCACGCTCCTCCAGCGCGTCGGGATCGGGATGGTTTTCTCCGTCCTGTCCATGGTGGCGGCGGGGATGGTCGAGCGGGACAGGCGGGGATTCGTCCACGCGCACCCCGAAGCGCCGCGGATGTCGGTGATGTGGCTGGCGCCGCAGCTGGCGCTGATGGGGATGTGCGAGGCGTTCAACTTCCTGGGGCAGATCGAGTTCTACAACAAGGAGTTCCCCGAGCACATGAGGAGCATCGCCAACGCGCTCTTCTCGGTGTCGTTCGCCACGGCGAGCTATTTCAGCAGCGTGCTGATCGCGGTGGTGAGGAAGGCGACCGGTGGGGGTGGCGGCGGCCGGCGGCGGGCGGATTGGTTGGCGAATGATCTGAATGAAGGGAGGTTGGATCTGTTCTACTTTCTGTTGGCCGGGATGGGGTTCGTGAACTGCTTCTACTTTCTGTACTGTGCGAGTGGGTACCGGTACAAGACCAAGATGAAGATCGGCGAGGTGGCGGTGGACGATGGGAAGTTGGCGGAGATTGATGATGTGGAGATGAATTCGGTTAAAGTGGCGAGTTGATCAGTTGGTTAAGTGAAGCGGGTAGGGTTTAATTTGGTGTACTTACTTATATATATTGGGTCTGGGTTTGGTATCTCATATGTGCTAGTTCGCAGAGAATATATATGTCCCCTTGTGGGGTAAAAGTACTTGGTATGTCAATAACACAAGATGTTAACGTTTATATAATCGACAATCAAAAGTTCAGAAAAGGAAGAACAAAGAGTCTGGGGGAACTTCTGGGTTTGTAGGACAAATTCAATGACAGGATTTTGCAGGAGCTGGTATTCTACCTAAACGTGAAACTAAGAGTGTACCTGAAGGCAATGATGGGTATACAGATATCGGGCTCTCTATTGATGATCTGAGTCGACTACAGAGGCTGCTTAATCATTATAGTCCTCCGGCATCTCCAACTTCACCTATTGCTCCTGGAGGATTAAACCTGGCTTCAGTGAATCACCAACAAACTCCTATGGTCAACTCACTGAGTAGACACCTATCTGTGAATCCTAACTTTTCAGGTAAATTCACTTTAAACTCATACTTCCTTAAGCATCCAATGGAATTTGTCAGTGTTTGGTTCCTTGACACGGGTGCCACTATTCATGTCACCTGTTCTATTTCCAACTTCTTAAAGTATGAACCTGTTCAAGGTATTCTTATAACCTTACCCGATGGATCTAAAACTCCAGCTACACATTGTGGTAGTGTAAGGCTTACATCTGAATTGGTCATTCATGGTGTTTTGTTAGTTCCAGCCTTTTAATTCAACCTAGTCTCAGTTAGTAAGCTCACTAAGTCCATGCCAATCTTTCTTACCTTTGAGTCCAACATTTGTCACATTCAGGACCTTCAAACCAAGAGGAGGATTGGTTTTGCCCAAGAGACTAGAGGACTCTATCGACTTACCATACATCCAGAAGACACTACCACCCTTGTTAATTCCATCAAGACTCAAAACTTAAGACCCCAATCCTTTGATCTATGGCATTGGAGGCTTGGTCATCCTTCCATTTTTTGAGCCAAAGAACTAAAGAAGACTATACCAGACATTTCTATAGGATCTTTTTCTCATTGTGATGTTTGTCACCTTTCCAGACAGAAACACTTACCATTTTCTTCAAGCCAGACTGTGGCAAGGAGCAATTTTGAACTCATTCATGTTGATATTTGGGGGCCTTTGGCCACTGCCAGTTACAATGGATATCAATATTTTCTTGCCCTAGTTGATGATAGATCTAGATGTGTTTGGATTTATCTCATGAAGCATAAAACTGAGGCTAGACAGTTGTTGCAAAACTTCTGTGTTCTAGTTAGCACTCAATACAACCAACACATCAAAATCATCAGATCAGACCAAGGGGCTGAGTTTTATATCCCTGATTTCTACTATCAATATGGCATTATCCATCAAGTGTCATGTGTTGCTACTCCACAACAGAACTCTAGAGTAGAAAGAAAACACCAACATATTTTAAATGTTTGTGGTATGCTAATCGAGTGAGATCATACCATTGGTAAACAATTAGATACATATAGTGGTTGGCAAGTTCAATAAGTAAAACCATGGAAAATAAATGAGATTATTCCATGATGTTTGGCAAAGGGTAGAACTGTGGGGGAGAAAAGCTAGTCATTGTTTCGGCTACTATCTCAAGACCCTACAATGGGACGCAAACCTATCCATAAGACAAAAGTGGAAAGGTAAACGAAGTCATGCTTGAAAGTATGAAGGTGTCCGGTGAGAAAGTGAGAGTCTTTAAACCTTGTGGAGTTAACCCAGTCCAAGGGTATAACTTATGAGTAAACTCTAGCATATATTGATGTTATGTCAGAGAGCTAGAATATTTATTGATGTTGATCCACTCTTCCCAAAGAGATGATTTTGACCATATACATGAATGTATATGAACAACATTCCCCAATCCGGAAACGTTGGTTTCAACAACTATGACGAAATAGTTGAAATGTGGGGGGATAAATTGGGGAAAAGTGATGTGGAATGTTACTTGGTGATTCCAATTAAAGTGATACTTAAAAGTTTTGTGTAAACCCTAAGCTAAGTCATAAATGTCACTACATTTAAAGAGATACTTGTGAAGCTCAAGTACTCTAAGGTTAATGAAGTGGAGAGACTTCAATACCGTTGGCATGTGTTATGACAAGCCAAGCTCACAAGATGTGTAGTGAATTGAAAAGAGACGAGTCTTTGGTGTATTGTACCCAAAGGGAACTCACCGGATGAACCAAAAGACAATCTATTAATGGATATGCATTTATGGTTGATGGGGAGCAGTATCTTGGAAAATTATTCAATGTCCATTCTCATGATGAGACAATGTCTAACTATAAGGGTAAACCTAAAAATCTGAAATGTTTTTAATGGTTTCTAAGTTTGACACGTGGTGTGATCAAATAGTGTATTTTTGGAATACACGTTTAGAAATCACTTATGTAAGTGTGAAGTGGAGCCGCTTCAAGGAGAATAAAAGAAGGCCAGTTCTCTAAGCACTCATGAGACCAGGCGGTGTTCATGACTAAAACGAACACAACAATGAGAACCAGTGAACGGATAAGAGTTAGTTGTGTGACATATGTTGTCTTAGTATACAAGCAAAATTGACGGTTCAAAGATATCTCATCTACCGATTGGTGAGTATACTCGATATATGTTCACTAAGGAAGGTTCAAAGGAAAACCTACCTATTCCAATGCAACTAATTCTTAGTCGAGAATCACACGATTTTTTGCATAGTTTTTATATTACAACATTCTCCATTCATGTGGGGGATTGTTGGGTTTTAGTGGTGTGAATGGAAATAAAATGGGAAAGTTTCAAGAGAGTCTCTTGAAGTACCATGTTGGTAAGAAGTGGGAAGGCAAGACCTCGAATTCGATCGATTTGATGTAATATGTGGTTAATTGGTTAAATTGGTTTGTGTAACCAGACGGACCAAACCAAACCAAATCGAGTTGAACCAAATCAAACCGAACCGATATAAGTGGTTGGAATAACCAAACCGGTACAACTACCATAGGTCGAACTGATGCAATGATTCATTATTTTAAAACGAACCAATGTGTTGGTTGGGGTGTAACCACCCATACGAAGAGTTGCCTCCCTTCGTACACACCCCTTCATTCTCTATAAATAGCACCTAACCCCTCTTGTTTTGACATGAATTTTTCCGGTACCAAAACTTTGCTAAAATCCAAAACTGGTTTTCTGCATTCTTTTAAAAGAGAAAATCGAGTCAAGGGTGGTTCTCGCCGGTTCGCTGCGTTCGATGGGTTCCAAGGTTTGAGGTGCCGCTACGCCGGAAAAGGTATGCCCTTCCTATCCTGGGAGGAATCATTCCATAACCTTGGGTACTAGAGGGGAATAAATTTTTTTAAAGAGAGATAGTGAATTCTATCGGCTAGGACGCTTGCATATGTCTTTGCATATTTTTTTATTTTTATATGTTTGCTTGTGTTACAAGAAAATAATATACATGAACAATTTCCCAACAAAAACTTCATCGATTTACATTCCTTCCTCTTGTAACTATGTATCTCTCCTTTACTATGAGTGGATAGAACACTCCTACTATTTAGGTCAGTGGAACAAGGAGTGAGGAATGCTATATCATGTTTAAAATATATTTTAATTGAATTTTTGTTCCATGTGCCGTTCTTGCTTGCTTATAATTTCGATCGAACCTAAGAGTGGTAGTCATTATTTCTGTTCTAATACGAGATTGAAAACTTTGGTTATATAATTTTTTTTTGACAATTCATCTGTATTCAAAAATCAAACTTCAGTGACTACATTGCTTTCTTTAGAAAGAATAGTGACCAGACAGATAGGGGGCCTATCTATCCACACTTCAGTTTCTTCTGCTCTTCCTCTCAATCGTGCCATCACATGAGCACCTTCATTTCCCTCTCTTCTCCCGAATCTCCATCCAGCCACATCATTTTCCCCAGCCATATCTCGAATTTCATCGCAAATCATAGCCACCTCCATATCAGTCGTTTCCCGGCGATTCAATTTCTGGATTAGGGTTTGGCAGTCCGATTCCAGCATCATCGATTGGGTTTGGTGGGTTCTTGCCAGCTGCAAACCCCATAGCATTGCCTTCGCCTCCGCCATTTCTACTGGCCATCGCACCTTTGTCCGGTGAGTCGCCCCCATGATAAAATTTCCATTCCAATCTCTCAGCACCATTCCATAACCTGTGCCTTCATCTCCCAGAATCGCCGCATCTGTGTTCAGCTTTAGGATCCCCACCGGTGGAGGCTCCCACTTTGCCCTGGTTCGATCTCGCGGTGCTTGAGGTCCGAGGTTGTTCCTTCCTTGATTCTCTGCATATTCTTCAAGGTAATTCTGAGCTCTTCCCACTATCTCCCACTCTTCTAATTTAGGGTTATTGAAGAAATGGTTGTTCCGTTCCTTCCATAGGAACCAAAGTGTGATTAGTACTTTGGTTAGTTCTTCTCTGCTCGTTGCCTCAAGTAAATCACACAACCAAGTTTCACAGTTCTTTCCCTCTCCCATCTGGAAAAATTTTGCCAGATCGCTAGGTCTCCATACCCTTCCTGCCCAATCGCATTCTATAGTGATATGCTCTTGCGTTTCCAATAAACCACAGAAGGGGCATTCATCGAATGCATCCTTGATTCTCCTGCTTAGGTTAACTCCTGTTGGAAGGATGTTACTCCCCCATCGCCATACAAAAATGCGAACCTTGGGCGGCAATTCCAGCATCCATAGATGCTTCCAATCCACTGGCACATAGGCTTCAACTTGATCTGCGATTTGGGCCTTTCTCCATTCTTTATAGCCTGATCTGACTGTGTATTTACCAGTCTTTTCCCTACCCCAAATCTGCACATCAGGTCTCGGTTGAGGGGGTATGGGTATCTGTTCGATTCGAGACCTGTCATTTGGTTGGAAATTGTTCTGCAAAAGGTTGCTTTTCCATGACCTAGTCTCCCAATCGATCAGACTTGATACCCTTTCTGTTACTCCTAGTCCTGTTGCCTGAGATTGAATCTTGTAATTTGGTGATTCTGGAATCCAACGATCCCACCAGATACGGATATCTTCTCCATTTCCCACCCTCCACCTTGTCCCTTCTCTCACTAGGGATTGAGCTTGCATTAGGCTTCTCCAAATGTAACTGGGATTTGATCCCACTGTTGCCTCTAGAACACCACAGTGAGGGTAATATCGAGCTTTTAAGACCCTTGCCACTAGTGAATCAGGTTTCTTTAGGAGGTTCCAGACCTGTTTTCCCAGTAGAGCTATGTTAAAGCCTTGTAAATCTCTGAAACCCATCCCACCCTCATACTTAGGGCGACATAACTTCTCCCAACTCATCCAATGTATTCTTCTTTCCTCTCTTTTCCTTCCCCACCAAAAGCTTGCAATCATCCTTTGGATTTCTTGTATGACACTTTGAGGTACTTTGAAAACTGACATAGCATATAAGGTTTGGGCTTGTGCCACTGCCTTAATTAGTACCTCTTTGGCTGCCATTGATAACAGCTTCCCTTTCCACATCTTAATTTTGTCTCTAACACGATCAATTAGCTGTGCAAAAACAGCTTTCTTGGCTCGGCCAATCACTGTAGGAAGTCCTAGGTATTTATCATGATGCATTACCCTTTTCATTCCCAGGATATCACCCATTAGTCTTCTGTCCTCTTCAATGACATTGGTACGGAAAGAGATCTCTGACTTGACTAAGCTTACCTGTTGACCTGAGGCAAGTTCATAGGAGCGTAGCAAGTCCCTCAAAGCTTCTCCCTGTTCTTTTTTATTCTCAAAAAAGAATATACTGTCATCCGCAAAGAATATGTGAGTGATCATTGGGCCATTGCTGCTCACTTTAATCCCTCGAATTCTTCCTTCTTCTTCAGCTTTCTTTATCAGGGCTGATAGTCCTTCTGCACATAATAGGAAAAGGTAGGGGGATATGGGGTCCCCCTGCCTGAGTCCTCTGGTTGGCTTAAAAACCTGAGTCTGATGTCCATTGACCAAAGCTGCATAACTCACAGTGGTAACACAGTTCATCACCATTCGAACCCAATCTGCATGAAAATCCAACTTCAGCATTATTCCTTCAAGAAAACTCCACTCTACTCGATCATAAGCTTTGGCTATGTCGAGTTTTGCAGCTACAAAACCTTTCTTTCCCTTTTTTCTGTTCTTCATAGCATGGAAACATTCAAAACCAATCATAATGTTATCTGTAATGTTTCTCCCTGGCACGAATGCACTCTG